GGCTTGTTGGACGGGCTCCCAGTCCACGCAGTGAGGCCGGACTCCTGGGTGTGTTCTCTGGCCTCACCATGCTAGTTACAGCATTGCAGAATTACACAATCACCTGGTCCAACGCTTTTTGGGCAGAGACTCCCCTTTGATATAGGCTTGTCCAGTTTTTGCTTGAAACTTCCAGTGATGGGAAACCCAGGGCCCCCTGAAGTAGCCTATTTCTTATTTTTTTTGGAAGTTAAAAAAAGTGATTCAATATGTATTTAAACAGCATCAGTTCTTTCTCTGGGGATGGATAGCATTTTTCATCATTAAGTCCTTCTGAGTTATCTTGGATCATTGTATGGCTGAGAATAAAGTCATTCACAGCTGATCATCTTACAATACTGCTGTTACTTTGTACACAGTAATGTAACTTTGCATCAGCTTATGTAAGTCTTTACAGGTTTAGTTTTTTTTTTGAGAGCATCCTGTACATCATTTCTTACAGGACAATAGTATTCCATCACAATTACATACCATAATTTGTTCAGCCATTCCTTAATAGATGGGCTTCCACTCAATTTCCAATTCTTTGCCACCAGAAAAGAGGTACTATAAATATTTTTGTACATATAGGTCTTTTCCTTTAACCTCTTTTTGGATATAGACCTAGTAGTGGTATTGCACAGGTTTTATAGCTCTTCGGACATAGTTCAAATTGCTCTGCAGAATAGTTGAATCAGTTCACAACTCCACCAACAGCATGTTAATGTCTCATTTTTCCCACATCCCCTCCAACACTTGTCATTTTCCTTTTCAGCTTTATTAGCCAATCTAATAGGTATGAGGTAGTACCTCAGAATTGTTTTAATTTGCATTTCTCCACTCAATATGAGTTAGAGTACTTTTCCATATGGCTTTAGGTAGCTTTGATTACTTAATCTGAAAACTTTTCATATCTTTTGATCATTTGTCAATTGAGGAATGGCTCTTATTTTTATAAATTTGACTCAGTTCTCTATATATTTGAGAAAACAGGCCTTTATCAGAGAAACTTGCTTGAAATATTTTTTCACAGTTACAATTGCTAACTGTATTTCACTCCATCCTATTTCCTCCTCTATTTATTCTATTCTCTCTTTCCTTTCACCCTGCCCCTCTTCAAAAGTGGTTTTGCTTCTGACTACTCTCTCCTTGAATCTGCCCTCCCTTCTATCACCCTCGCTTCTCTTATAACCTTCCCCTTCTACTTTCCAGTAGAGTAAGACAGATTTCTGACTTTGCGTTATTCCCTTTTTGAGCCAACTCTGATGAGAGTAAGGCTCACTCATTCCCTCTCGCCTCCCTCATCTTCTCTTCCATTGTAAAAGCTTTTCCTTACCTCTTTTAAGTGAGATAATTTGCCCCATTCTGCCTTTCCTTTTCCCTTTCTCTCAGTGTTTTCCTCTCTCACACCTTAATTTTTTATTTTTAGATATCATCCCTTCATATTCAACTCACACCTATGCCCTCTATCTATATATATTGCTTCTAAAGTTCTTATGAGTTACAAGTATCATCTTTCCATGTAGGAATTTAAACAGTTTAACCTTATTAAGTCCCTTATGATTTCTCTTTCCTGTTTACCTTTTTATGCTTCACTTGAGTCTTGTATTTGAAAGTCAAATTTTCTATTCAGATCTGGTCTTTTCATCAAGAATGCTTGAAAGTTCTCTATTTCATTGAATGTCCATCTCTCCCTTCCCCCCCCCACCGCACCCCAAAGCATTATACTCAGTTTTGCTGGGTAGATGATTCTTGGTTGTAATCCTAACTCAGAATATCATATTCCAAGACTTTTGATCCTTTAATGTAGAAGCTGCTAAATCTTGTGTTATCCCAACTGTGGCTCTATGATACTTAGATTGTTTCTTTCTGGCTGCTTGTAATATTTTCTCCTTGCACTGGGAGCTCTGCAATTTGGTTATAATATTCCTGGGAGTTTTCATTTTGGGATCTCTTTCAGGAGGTGATTGGTGGATTCTTTCAATTTCTATTTTATCCTCTGGTTCTAGAATATCCAGACTGTTTACCTTGATAATTTCTTGAAAAATGATGTCTAGGCTCTTTTTTTTTTAATTATGGCCTTCAGGTCATCCCATAATTGTTAAATTATCTCTCCTGGATCTATTTTCCAGGCCAGTTATTCTTCCAATGAAACATTTTACATTGTCTTCTATTTTTTCATTCTTTTGGTTTTGTTTTGTTGTTTCTTGATTTCTCACAAAATCATTAGTTTCTATTTGTGTAGTCTAACTTTTAAGGAATTTTATTCTTCAGTGAGCTTTTGTACCTCCTTTTCCATTTGGCCAATTCTACTTTTTTTTTTTTTGTGAGGTGATGAGGTTAAGTGGCTTGCCCAGGGTCACACAGCTAGTGAATATCATGAGTCTGAGGCCAGATTTGAACTCAGGTCCTCTTGATTCCAGGGCCAGTACTCTATCCACTGCGCCATCTAGCTGCCCCTCAATTCTACTTTTTAAGGAGTTTTTTCTTCAGTGAATTTTTTGTGTCTCTTTTTCCATTTGGCCAATTCTGCATTTCAAGGCATTCTTCTCCTCACTGGGTTTTTGTACCTCTTTTACCATTTGGCCTAGTCTGTTTTTTAAGGTATTATTTTCTTCAATATTTGTGTCTCCTTTACCAAGCTGTTGACTCTTTTTTCATGATTTTCTTGCATCACTCTCATTTCTCTTCCCAATTTTTCCTCTACCTCTCTTACTTGATTTTTGAAATCCTTTTTGAGCCCTTGCATGGCCTGAGACCAATTCATATATTTCTTGGAGGCTTTGGATGTAGGAGCTTTGACTTTGTTATTTTCTTCTGAGTGTGTGTTTTGATCTTCCTTGTCACCAGAGTAACTTTCTACGGTCAGATTTTTTTCTGTTCTTTGCTCATTTTCCCAGTCTATTTCTTGACTGTTAACTCTTCATTAAAGTGGGGCTCTGCTTCCAGGGTGGAGGGGGCACTGTCCCAAGCTTCAGGGTTATTGCGCAGCTGTTTCCAGAGATACTTCTTGGGACCTATAAATTTCTAGTTCTTCCAAGGTGGTGTGATCTAAGGAGAGGTGCTTACTCCTACTCTGGTCTATAAGTGACCGCAAGCACTCTTTTCTGCCCTGGAACTGTTATGAAGGTCTCTGTTCCACTGTGGCCTGCAAGCTCTGGTGTGCTAGTGCTCTACTTTGCCCTGTGATTGTCACCCAGGACTGAAACCCAGATCTGAGGATGGGTAAAGTAACCGATTCCTGCCCTCAGCGCCGGCGAAGAGATCCCTGTAATCTCCTTGTGACCAGTTGTTTGACCCCTTTACTGTCTGTGGGCTAAGAGCTCTAGAAGCAGCCACTGCAGCTGCTGATTCATTCACTCCCAATGCCTGCTCCTGATATTCTGGGGCCTGGCATGACCTGCCCTGAGCTGTGCTCCATTCTCACCCCGGTATGACAGACCTTTCCTGATGACCCTCTATGTTGTCTTAGAAAGGTCAACTTTCTAAGTTGACTAGAACTTAACTTAGTCTACTAGTTGGCTAGACTATTGGCTAGAAAATTACTTCACCCTGTCTTTTTTGGGGGTATGCTGCCCCAGGAATTATTTTTATGCCATTATTTAAAGGTGTTCAGAGGGGTTTGGGGGAGAGCTCAGGTGGGTCACTGCTTTTTCTCTGCCATCTTGGCTCTGCCTCTGAAGTAGCCCATTTCATTTTAGATTCAGTTGGGCTGATGTAACCCCCAGATACCTGAAGACAGCTTTTGTGTCTCTCCCCACCCCAGCCTTCTCTCCACCAGGTTAAACATCCCCAGCTGCTTCAGTTGATCCTTATACAGTCTGGGCTCAAGGCCCTACATAACCTTGGTGGGGTGAAGGGAACAAGTATTTATTAACCACTTATTATGTGTTGGTCAAGTACTGTGCCAAGTGCTTCTACAAATATGATCTCATTTGATCCTCTCAAGGTGAGGCAAGGAGGTAGGTGGTATTATTATCACCATTTTACAGTTGAAGAAACTGAGGCAGATGGAAGTGAATTGAGTTGCTCAGTCTTGACTCCAGAACCAGCACTCTATCAACTGTGCTACCTAGCTGCCCAAGGCATATCTAATGTATAATATAATAGGATATAAAATTTTACAAATGATGACTGTTGTCCACCTTATCCTCCAGAATACTCTCTCTCCTCTCTGGGTTTCTGGGACACTAGTCTCTTCTGGTTCTCCCCCTACCTGTCCGACCATTCTTGATACAATATCCTTTGCAGGATTGCTATCTACATGATACCCCCTAACTGCGGTTTATTCCCCAAGGTACGCTGTCCTGGCCCCTTTTCTATTCTGTCTCTACACTCATCTCTTGGTAATGCAATCTCCTAGGCTTTTAAACTACCATCTCTATGCAGATGAATCCCAGATCTATATAGCCAACCTGTCACTCCCCTGAGCTTGTGGCTTGCATGGCCAACTGTATATTGGACAATTCAAACTGGATGTTCCATGGGCATCTTAAATTCACAGATTCAAAACCAAACTATTGTCTCCCTAAGGTCTTCTCTCTTCCAAATTCCCTATTTTCCGTCAAAGGTACCACCATCCTTCCAGTCCCCCTGGAATGAGCCTGGATTTCTCATTCTTCCTCATCTCACATATTCAACTGATTGACAAGTCTTGACGTTTCTACCCTAGGCCTGATGACCACACTTCTGGATTATTGAAATAGCCTCCTGATTGGTCTTCTGTCTGACTGAGTTCATTGTCCACACTGCAACTGAAGTAATTTTTCTTAAGTGCAGATCTGAGCATGTGACTCTTCTATATATCCATTCTAGGGGCTCCCTATCATCTTGAGGATAAATAATAATAATAGCTAGCATTTATATTGGAAGATAAGTGCTATTATCATCATTTAACAAAGAAGGAAACAGAGGCAGACAGGGATTAAGTGACTTGTTCAGGATCACATAGCTAGTAAGTATCTGAGGTTAGATTTGAATTCAGGTCTTCCTGACTCCAGGTCCGGTGTTTCACCACCTAGATAAAATAGAAATTCCTGTTTAGCTTTTCAAGCCCTACACAGTTTGGCCCCAACATATCCTTCCAGCCTCAGTGGGCATTCCTCCTCCATCCATACTCTGTGATACAGCCAAGCTGGCTTCTCTCTGTTCCTCATACAGGTCACCGCATCTTTCGGTCTCCATGACTTTGTGCTGGCTATCCAAATGCCTGGAATGCACCCCGCACTCCCTCCACCTCACTGAGTCTCTCCTTTTCCCTGAGATGCTGCTCAGGCTTCATCTGCATGAAGCCTTTCCAATTGCTTAACCCCTTCCCTCCCAAACCACCTTGTACATATTTGAACGTGTTCACCTCATATTTTTGCTGTGCATATTTTTATGTGTACTCTCTTCCATTAGAATGTCAGCTCCTTCAGAGTAGGGCTTGTTTCATTCTTTTCTTTTTCTTTTGAACTTTAGTTTTCCTGAGTTTTTTTGTCCTTTGCTTTTTGTGGTCTGTGTTCACTTCTGCAGCGTTTCATGGTTTTCCCTTGCAGCCTCTGGGTTTAGCTTAGTGACTGGCACACAGGAGATACTTGCTGAATTGTTTCTTGGTTGATTGACTGGTCACCTGCCACCTGCATAATTTTCAAAGGAGGAGAAGTGATTGCACGTGGATCCAGACAGCAATACTAACACTTAGCTCTATGGTGTCTGCCTTGCATGCAGCTGAATATGTTGATGTTTATATTAGTGCACGCTTTTGAATTGTATTAATTTTATATTCAAACTCAACATATAGTAAAACAGAGCTCATTTTTCCCCACCCTCCCCCAAACCCACACCTCTTTTGGACTTCCCTATTCCTGTCAAAGACGCCATCATCCTTCTAGTCTCCTGGTTTCAAAACATTGGCATTATCTCAGACTCCTTGCTCTTCCTTACCCCATGTATCCAGGCACTTGCCAAATCTTGCCTCTCTTCCTTTCTCTACACTCATCTAGCTCCCCCCTGAATTTAACCCTCTTCTCTTCTGGCTGTTGCCAGAAGACTTTTGCAATAGTAAGGCCAATGCTGCGTCTAATTCACCACAAGTGCCAGGGTCTTTTCTCTCAAGGAGTTCACATTCTAGGTTTTTAAGATAGTGGATGTAGCATTGGGCCTGGAATCAGAAAAGCCTGAATTCAAATCCCACCTCAGCCACTTAGGAGCTGTGTGGACCTGGTTCTCCTCTTGCCTTTCCTTTCTGACTGCTCCTCAGTCCTATGGCACGTGCCCCATTCTTGGGTGTTCACCAGGGTGCTGTCCTGGGTTCTTTTCTCTTCTCCCCCTCTAGTATTTTCCTTGGTGATTGTCATCAGCTCCCACGGATTCAATGATCATCTCTATGGACATGATTGTCAGATCTATTTGTCAAGCCCTAATCCCTCTCCTGACCTCCAGTCTCACTTTTCCAGTTGCTCATTGGACAGGTCGAACTGGACGTTCCATCTCAAACTGACATGTCCAAAATGGAACTTACAATCTTTTCCTCCAAACCTTGTCTTCTTCCTAACTTCCTTATTACAGTAGAGGGTACCACCATAGCCTCAGTTATCCAGAACTGAAACCTAGGTGTCATCCTCACCTTCTCATCCTATCTCACCCTTCATATTCAATCTATCATCAAGGCCAGTTGATTCAATCTTTGAAATAGCTCTCTAGAACATCCCCTTCTCTGCTCTGACACTGCCACCATCCTGGGAAAGCCCTTATCTCCTCATGCCTGGACTATCGCACCAACTGCTTCAGGGTTCTGCCTGCTCCAGGTTTCTCCACTCCAGTCTAGCCTCTAATCAGATGTCAGAGTGATCTTCCTAAAGTACAAGTCAGCCCATGGTGCCCTTTTATTGAAAAAGCCCCAATGGTTCTTAATTACCTCAGAGGTCAAATATAAAATCTTCTGGCTTTTAAAACCCTTCATAACCTGACCCCTACCACCTCTCCAGTCTTCTTACACCTCCCCCCCACCTGCCCCAGTAATCTGCAATGCAATGACACTGGCATTCTGGCTGTTTCTTGAACAAGATGCTCTACTTCCAGGTTCTGGACATTTTCCCTGGCTATCCATCATGCCTAGAACTCTCTTCCTCCTTGTCTATACCTCCTGGCTTCCCTGGCTTCCTTCAAGCCCAACAAGGAAGCCTTTCCTGCTCCCCCCATATGCTAGTGCATGCCCTCTGTCATTATGTCCAATGTATCTTGTCTCTAGCACATTTGTGATAATTATTTGCATGTTGCCTCCCCTTGTTAGACTGTGAGTTTCTTAAGGTTGGGAGCTGTTTTTTTACCTTTCTTTGTATCTCCAGTGCCTGGCACATCCTAGGTGCTTCACAGTTGTTTGTTCACTTGACTTGTCTTTGAAGGAATGTAACTGAATGTCTAAATGGGCCAGCTAGCCTAGGTTGTGTAGAATCACTGACAGAGCTATAAGGACTTGCAGAGACCATTGAGTTCAAGCCTTTCATTTTGCAGATGAGGAAACTGAGGCCTAGTGACTTCCTAAAGGTCTGAGTAGGAGAGTAAGTACCAGAGTCAGGATTTGCACCCAGCTCTCTGCCTCCAGAGACATCTTCTCCACCCATCCCACCTCCTCTAAAGAAGCCAGGTGCCTCTCAAAAATAAGGAAAGCCCTGTATTTCAATAGCACCTCAAGGCTAACCCAGTCCTTTCTTCTCAAACAGCCCCTGTAGAGTAGATAATAAGAGTGGAGATTATTGTCCCTATATGCAGATGAAGAAACTGAGGCACAGAAAGGGGGGGTCACTTGTCCAGAATCTCAAAGCTCAGGAGTGGAGTCAAGAATTAAACCCATGTTCTTAGATCCTAGACCATAGGACAATAGAATTTAGCAGTAGGAGGGATATTAGAAATACATCCAATGTCCACATTTGGTAGATGGGGAAACTGAGGCCCAGAGACTGGAAGCCGACTAATGTCACAACCAAGATTGAAACCCCAGGCTTCTGACTTCCAAGAAATGTTCTCCCTGTGACAGCTGGCTCACTCAGGGAAGGTTTCCTGGAGATTGGGTGGGGGTGGGGGACTTAGGGGAGATCCAGGGTATGCAGGAGGGCATTCTAGGAAGAGGAAATAGCAATTAACTAGCTGGGCCCTCCTCCTGTCCCTGGAGCCTGATATTTCTGAAGGGAACCTGGTGTGGGGCCTGGCCTGCCCAGCCTTTCCCAGAGCCAAGGCTTCCTGATGCCTGGTAGTCTGACCAGCTGAGGCCCGTGAGAGCACCCTGCCAGCATGCATTCCCAGTCCGCCCTTCCATCCTGGGTCCCAGACCCTGCCCTATCTCTCCCAGAGCCAGGCCTTCTGTCCCGGTTGCTGGTTCTCACACAGATCTAGGGCTCAGCCTCCCAGGGGAGCCCCCAGCTCAATAGACTATCAGGGGTCCCCATCTCTCTCACAGCCTTGCTGTCCGGGGTGGGTGAGGGGAGTGGACGGAGGGGGCCATACTAACACCCAGCCAGCCCCTGTTCCTCGATCCTAATCCCACCCCCTCCCCCATGCCAGCTCCTAGCCACTCTGGCCTCTCCCTTTCCTCAGTGATGTAAGGAAGAGATGGATGGGGGTCAGTGTCAGAAGGAGCTTGTGGGGGGTCCTGGGACAAGAGGTCTCTCCAGGAGCCACATCTGCTCTATTGGGGCTGGGCCAAGCACTTGGGGACTGGGCTGGGCTGAGCTGCGCTGGGCTGGTCCGTGGCAGGTTCTTTCCCTGAGCTTTGGGAAAGGATGGAGCCCTGCTAGCTGTGCCCTGCCTGGCTTGGCTCGACTTCTGAGGGCCTGTGTCATGGTAATGAGGACAGATGCGCTAGAGTGGAGAAGGAAGAGGAGGCGGGGGTAGAGGGGAGCAAGGCCTTTGTCCAGCCCTTGTCTTCATGGAGGGCCCTCTAAGGGAGACAAGAGGGGCCTGCCAGAGGCTGAGTGGAAGCAGTCAGCCGCCCGTCACTTCGGCAGCCGGCTGTAGTTAGTGGAGGCGAGGGAGCTTCCCTGGGTGAGAGTCTTGGCTCTGGCCCAGCCAGGACCTGAACAAGACCCCTTTCCCCACCCCCAGCCCCCAGAGAGGTGAGCCAGGGGAAGCTCATCCCTAGCAGGCCCAGCTCTCACCGGCAGGAAGTTTACCCTGATATAGAGCCTGAAGCTGCCTTGTCACACCTTCTTTCTGTGGCTCCTGGTTCTGACCTCTGGCCCAGCGGCCAAAGGCTCATCACTCCTTGCCATTCATCTTCAGGGCTCTCCCAAGCCTCCTCTTCACTCCCGTGACTCCTGCTGCCACCGGGCCTGGCCTGATCTCTTTCTTCTGTCCCTCCCTCCCTCCCTCTGCTCCTGTGTAGGGTCTCAGGTCAGAATGTTGGCTATTCTCTCATTTCACAATGAAAGAGACCTTAGTAGCGTCTCTTCCCAGGCCTAGAGGGAAGACATCTTAGTGGGAGGAATATTCAGAGAAGCACATTTTGCCATAATGTAAGGGAAAGCTTCCTCCCCTGCATAACTATTTTAAAGTGGAATGGGCTATTCTTGGGAGGTAGTGAGCTCTCCATCACTGGAGGTCTTCAGGGAGAGGGTGGATGACTTTTGGTGGGATGGGTGTTCTAGTCACCATGTTCTCATTCTGGACTTGATCCTTCAGTGCTGAAATTCTGAAAGGGGCATTTTGTGGAGCAAATAAGGTTCCCTGGAAATGTGGGTAATGACTCTTTTCTGGGTCCCAAAGTTCTCATCTATAAAATGGGGATAATTCTTTTGTTCTCTCCCTCATGGGTTGCTGTGAGAAAAGTGCTTTGAAAACCTTAAAACATCACAGAAATAGGAACAGTATTTATTCTTATTTGTGAGTGTGTGTGTGTGTAAATACTGAGAACCCTAGAAGTTATAGCAGGGTGCTGAGGGCTGTTTCAAGAGCCAAGACCAGCCTGTCATGGGGCCCAGCTATCAGGAATCCCTGCCTAGGTCCAGAGTCATCCCAGGGTCCTCTTTGTGTCCTTGGGAGTAGGGTGGCCTGGCCAAACCCTTGGGCTTAAGGTCAAACCCAGAAGGAGATGTGTTGTTTGGGGGGGGGGGGACCAGGGCCCCTTGGTAGGCCAGGGGAGACCAGAGGACCATGGGATCTGGAGTTGGAAAGAACTACAGAAATAATCTAATCCAAACCTTCCGTTTTATAGATGTGGAAGCTGAGGTCTAAAGCAGGTAGTTGGTTTGCCCAAGGTCATTCTGGCAGCTCACAATCAGGATTTCAGCTCAGGTTTTGATTCTAAATATACTGTCCTTTCCATGACATCACCTGTTGTGTCAGGGGCAGCTTTCTGGAACTGGTCAAGACCACCTGGAACCTGGGGCAGGTAGGGGAGGGGCAGCCCTTCCTTGGTTATGAGTCGAGGCCTGTCAGAGGCTATGGTGGCAGTGATGATCCTTCTATCCAGAAAGGCAGAAGCTTCCAATGTCTATGGCTGAAGTTGGGCCAATGGGCCATATTTCTCTCTGTGTTTGGAGGCTGGGTAAGGGCCAGGGGGTGGGTGCCACTAGGCAGGTTTATTCTGTTCCATTGAGGAGGTCAGTGATAAATCTTACAGACTCCACCGAGATCTCCTAGGACTCATCACCACCAGCAAATGCATCCCCTCAGTGAGCCCCAGCTGCCTTTCTCTCTCCTGCTCCCACTGCCAAGGAACTTTGGGAATGGCTGCTCAGCCAGCCTTCCAGTCCCCTGGAGGTCCCCCTGGACCTCTCCTCCCCACACACTTCTAAGACAGGGGGAACCCTGCACGTCCACACCAGAGCTGACTGCTCAGGTCACTTACACCCCTCAGTGTCTCAGGTCTGGCATCTCCCACACCAAACCTATTTTGGGGTTAGCCTTCCTCCAGGAAGCTTGCCCAGAGGAGGCCAATCTCTCCCTTGCCCTTGCTGCACTCACATAGACTCACAGGGTCCTGAGTCCAGGTGGAGAAAGAAGACCTGGGCATGATGCAAGGAAGTCAGGGAAGAGAGCCATGAGACTATTGTTCATTGCATTTGGAATAAGGTTGTGCTGGTGCCATTTTTGGACACCAGGTATTATTCTCTTTAGACACCTGCCCTCTCAGTTAACCTCGTCTTTGCCACACTCTATCATCCATCCACAAGGGCCTTCGTGTTAATCCTGATACATAACACTGGATCCCCACATTGGAGCAGCCTTTGTAGACAGAGGCTGTTCCAGATGTCTAGTGTGCCTTTCATCTGCACCTCCACCTCTCAGAATCCCTAATATCCTTCAAAGCTCAGCTCTTGTCGCTTCCTATGTGAAACCTTTCTCGATCCCCCCAGATGCTAGGGCCTCCCCAAATCATCTCGGACTTTTCTTGTACACATATTGTACACACTCAGTTGTGCCCAGGGCAGGTACTTTGTCTTGTATCCTCTGTACAATGCCAACATGATAGAACCACTTAAGAAATGTTTGCTGATTGACTAGGAAAAAACATTTAAGCAAAACCAACAGATGGCCAGTTCCTTATGAGGACTGTGTGTTTGGCCACCCATTAAAAAAAAATATATCAGTTTTCCAGGACCCTGGATGGCCACTCCATTCAATCAGATTGTGCTGCCTTTTAGGGTTTTTTTTTAATGTTACTGGAGTGATTATTTCTTTTGCTTTCTTAGTTCCCCTGGTTCTTCTTTCTTCCCTCTGCATCACTTCATAAACTCTTCCTATGTTTCTTTAAATTCCTTGTAATCGTGTCCCATTTTACTGCGGCCCTAGAGTTTGCTCAGCCATTGCCCAGTTAATAGGCAATTACCTTACTTCTAATTCTTTGCTATGACAAATATTTTGGAATAAGGCGCCTCTATTCTTCCCCCTTGATTTTGGCCTTTTTGGGTTTTAATCCAAGCCCAGTCTCTCGCTACCTATGTGACCTCAATGAGCCTTAGTTTATTCATCTGTAAAATGAGGGAGTTGGAATAGATAACCCTTGAGGGCCCTTCCACCACCAAATCACTTACCCCAGTGCCTGGCACGTAGTAGGCACACGTTTCTTGCCTCTTGAGGGGGTGTGCCCCGAATTCCATCTCCTATGGCCTTTCTGTTGTCTGAGCCCCATACCAGGTCTGCACTTCCTCCTCCTCTTCACCTCCAGCTCAAGCTCCACCTTCAGTATGAAACCTCTCCAGAGTCCCCTAGCTATCAGTGCCCACCCTCCTGCCCACCAAACTACCTGGTATTCATCTTTTATTTGTTCCCTGTGGTTATTTAGTCCTTTTCAGTCATGTTCAACTCTTCATGACCCCATTTGGGGTTTTCTTGGCAGAGATACTGGAGTGGGTTGCCATTTTCTTCTCCAGCTCATTTTTACAGATGAAGAAACTGAGGCAAAAAGGGTGAAGTGACTTGCCCAGGGTCACACAGCTAGTAAGTGTCTGAGGTCAGATTTGAACTCGGGAAGATGCGTCTTCCTGACCCCAGGCCTGGCGTTTTAAGTACAATGGTACCATCTAACTGGTATTTTTCTATATTTGCAGGCTTCCTAGTCATTCTCTTACTGGGCTGTGGGCTTCTCTAAGGGTACTGATAGATAGGAGTTCTTGGGGACCTGGGTTCTAGGCCCTGCTCCAATTCATCCTCCACACAGCTACCAAACTGACCATTCTAAATTTTGTATTTGCTGATCTATGAATATATTTCTCACCAGTAGAGCGTAAGCTCTATGTGTCCAGCAAGGATTGGCTTGCTTTTTTTTTCATTTATTTATATTTATTTTTGGCTAGGCAATGGGGTTAAGTGACTTGCCCAGGGTCACACAGCTGGTGAGTGTTAGGTGTCTGAGGCTGGATTTGAATTCAGGTGCTCCTGACTCTAGGGCCAGTCAGTGTGCTATCCACTACACCACCTAGCTGCCCCTGATTGGCTTGCTTTTGCCTTTGTCTTCCTGGCACCCAGGAAGGTGCCTAGTACTTAGGAAGCACTTCATAAATGCGTGTTCATTGACTGATTCTTCTATTACAGACCTGAGCAAAATCACTGATTTGGGGTCCTCAGTTTTCTCCCTTGTCAAAAGAGGAAGTCAGATTCAATAGTGTCTACAGGAGTGATTGTAACTCCCTTAGGATGGTGTGATGTTAGGAGGGCCTATAACTTACTAGGAGTGATTATGTAGCATTGCCCAGGGTCACCCAGCTGGCAGGGGTCAGCCAGGATTCAAACTGCAGAGCTAGGTCAGTTCTCTTGTCCTGACAAACCATTACATCTCGCTGATCTGTTATGCTTCTTTCTCCTCCAAAGGGCTCTCTATGTTGTAACTGCTTAACAACATTGGACTAAAACTAAGATTTTACTTTTGGTGAATATTATCTGAAATATGGGGTTCATGGCTTTGGGCTTGGAAAGCCCTGGTTAAGCGGAGATTTTGTTGTAAGAGGAGAACTGATCTGGAGAGAATTCATCCGTGGCAGTGGTTTGGAAAGAGCCCTGACTGGATCCACAGTCCCAGTCCCAATACGTGATGTGTGATCTGGGGCAAGCCATGTAATATCTCTGCCCTCTAGTTAAATGGGAATAATCATGCAAAACTGTTGTGAGCTAAGTGCTCCAAAGGCCAGAAAGTGCTATGAAGACAGGGAGTTTTTCCTCAGGCTGGCTGTCTGGAAGCAGATGCTGCTATTTGGCCGGGGGCCTGAGATGCTTCCAGTGCTGGCCAATGCCAAAGGAACAGGCCGTTAAAAACATGGTGTCTTGGAGTCCTTCCAGTGAGGAGGACTTGGATTCCGAGCTGTATCTCCAGCTTAGGAGAAGGGCTGTGTTGAGCCATCTTCTCTCACAAGGTGGATGGGGCTAGGGGTAAGGTCCAAGCCTGTACCTCCACCCCCCTGTTCACCTGACTGATCCTCAGTTTCTCTCTGTGTCAAAGAAGGAGCTGTACTAGACGACTTCCAAGCTGTCTCCCAGCTCTCAAGCTTTGTGATCTTATGTCTGCGGCTGACATTAACATTTGAAAGATGAAGTTTCCAGAATCATTGCTCAGAGGGAATCACCTCATAATGCAGGGGTGGATGGCTTGATTACAAGGAAAGGGTGTTAGCTCTTGTTCCCAGGAAAGCTTCCGGGGCTCTCAGAACGAGGCCCAATTCCCAGGGCTCTGCTCAGCTGTCAGTCAAAGTGATGGATGGCTAGGGGAGGTGCTAAGCCTGCTGGCTGAGCCTCCCCTGAGGAAAGATGCTCAGCAGCCAGAGGATGGCGGGAAAGGCTGGGAACCTGGCCGGGAGACCGTTCCCTCCACACCTCCAGTGGATACTTAGGCTCTGACAGACCTGTCATATCCCACACAGTGTCAGGGCTGGCGGGTCCTCATTGACCATTTAGTTTAGACCTGGTCTACAGTCCTCTCTGCAATACACCCACAAGTGGGCAGCCAGCCTCGGCTCTGGAACGGGGCGAGGGGGGCATGTATGTGTTTTTATACACACACACACAGAGACACACACAGACACACACATTCTTTCCCCCTAATAGAATGTAAGCTTCATGAGAGAAGGTACTGTTCACTTTTAGCTCTGTATCCCCAGCACCCAACATTAGTAGGCTTGTTAATAAATGCTTACTGATGGCCTGTGCACCATTCTCTGAGATTTCCATACTCAACCACAGTGAGGCATGAATTACTTCCCAGTAGGTGCCTAGGCTCCCCTCCTTCCACTTAATCTGTGGAAAGTGCCCAGTCTTCTCTAGAAAGTGCCCTGCTCTTCCCCAGATAAAGATAAAGGTGGAGGAACCCACCAAGGGTCACCCAGCTGTGTGGGTCTGTGAACTCAGGTCTTCTGAGGCCGAGGTAAGCTCTCTGTCCACTAAACTAAACCATCTCTGAGACAAATCAACCCTGATTGAAATCCATTCTGCTATTGCGGAAGTAGAGTTCTCACTCAAAACGTAGAGGAGACCGGAAGCATAGCGTATTTGGAGACAGAGCCTGGAGCAGCCTTCAGAAGAGGTTTTAGAAAGAAATCCCTTCTCTACTTCCTTCATCAAGAGGCCCAGGCTCGTGTCAGGGTTCTGATACTAACTCACTATGTGACATTAGCATAAACTGTTCAGCTCTCTAAGCCTCAGTTTTCTCATCTGTAAAATGGCATGGTAGCTTGTCATAACTGGGAGTCAAGGAGTCTTGGGTTCAAATTTTGCCTCAGACACTTATTAGCTAGGAGCCTCAGAGCTGAAAAGGACTTGAGCCCTCTAGTTTAACTACCTACATCCCCCCACCCCCATTTTTTCATAGGAGGGAATGGAGGCTTAAATCAGTTACCTGCACTTTAGGTTTTACATGGCTGGCAAGTGTCACAGGCAGTATTTCAAGTCTGGTTTTCTCGATTCCAATTCCAGGATGTTATCACTGTGCTGTGATGTTTTTTTCATCTCGGAGGTTCAGTTTTCTTGTATGAAAAATGAGGATGATAATAGCACTCCCCACTCCCTCCAATTACTCAGGCTGCTTATGAAGGTCAAGTGAGACAATGTCTGTTAAAAGGGTAGACATTAAGGCCCATAAAAACCGGCTCTCATTATCAGATGATCAATCCTGGGTCTGCCACTAACTCAGGGTGTGACATTAGGCAAATCTCTTCCCCTTTAGAAGTCTCAGTTTCCCCATCTGTAAAATGAGGGAGCAGGACTCACTCCCTGTTCCTTAAGGCTTCTCCCATCCTGGGGAAAGGGAGGGAGAAGGGGCTTCCCAGTTGGGGCCCCTTTGCAGTTACTCAGTGTGGCCACAGGGGGGAGGCCAGCACTCACCCAGCCTTGGACCTGTCTTGGTCCTAGGAGAGGTCGTGAAGGGAGACGAAGCCCCCAGGGACTATTGAGAAAAGGATGAGTGACTATAGGCATAATGAGCCTCTACTCTGGCCCCCAGACTGCCGGCCTTGGAGCTGCTGGGGCTTGGGCTGTGACCCTCTGGTCTTGGAGTTAGAGGATCTGAGTTGGAGTCCTGCTTGTGTGACCCTAGGAAGATGTTTTCCTTCTCTGGGCCTCTGTTTCTTCCAGAAGGGAAAAAAAATCTTCATAAGACACATGTTTTTTTTTCAATGTGGGGTCCACTCTTCTGCAGGTGACATGGATCCTCTATATCTAAGTAGGTGACGTCCTGAGCAGCAGTGGTCAAAACACTTAATCTCTTGTTGGGCAAGCCTTGGTGATGAGCCTTTCTTGAGTTTTGGAGCACAGTCATGTGGTCTTGCCTCTGGACTGGTATTTGAATGTTCTTCAGCCCATTGAGACCTCTCAGAGTTCACCAGCACAGAGACCAGGGGTCTGTCAGGGGAAGACGCCAATGAAGGGAGCTCGACAATGGGGAGACAAATACTTGCTTCACATTATTTCTCAGTACTTCACTAGGTTGTTGTGAGGTTCAGTTGGGTAACATATGTGACATCAGTCTGCTGTGTGACCTTAGGACAAATGCTTTCCTCCCAGCCTCAGGTTTCACCTCTGTAAAATGAAGGAGTTGACCTAGATGGCTTCTCCCAGCTACCATCTTATATTTTCTGTTCTAAGATCATTTCTATTCTGACGATTCCCACTTATGCAGCCCCAACCACTTCACTGACCTCCAGTCTCACATCTCCAATCACCTATGGGACATCTTGAACTGGATGTCCAGTAGACATCTTAAACTCAACATGTCCAAAACTGAATTTGTTATGTTTTTCCCAAAGCCTCTCCCCTTCCAAGCCCCCTTATTATGCTTGGAGGCGCCATCATCCTTCTAGTCCCACAGGCTCAAACCCTTCCTGTCATCTTTGACGCCTTACTGTTTCTCAACCCCCCCCCCCCCATATCTAATCTGTGGTCAAAGTCTATCAATTTTACCTTTGAAACATGAGCCTCCTCCTCTCCTCTCCTGCCTGTCTGGTGCCAACCTTCATCATCTCACATCTGGACTATTGCAATACTCCCTGCTTTGTCTTCTGGTAACTTTCTCTCCCCACTCCAGTCCATCCTTCACTTAGCTGTAAAGCAATCTTCCTAAAGCTCAGGCCTGACCATGTCCTTCCCCCACCCTGTGATGGTCGGAGTGATGACCTCCATGGAATTAGGAAAGTTGGGATGAGCAGAGTTGGGGGGAATGATGAGTTCTGTTGGGATGCATTGAGCTTGAGTTGCTTGTAAGACATAAAGTTTGAAATGTACAAAAAGTGGCTGGTGAAGTGGGAGAGAGAGACTATTTATGTAGATCTGGAATTATCTTCATGGATGTGATCATTGAATCTATGGCAGTTGACAAAATCACCAAGTAACATAATAATAACAATAATAATAATTAGCATTTATATAGCACTTTAGGTTTGATCCTTACAACCCTAGTGATGATGATAATGCTGATAATAATAATAATATTAACTAACATTTATTTGGAACTTTAAGATTTACAAAGTGCTTTTACAAGTGTTATCTCATTTTATCCTTACAAAAATCTTCCATAAGTTAGTCAATAGACATTTATAAAGTACCTACTATGTGCTGGACACTATGCTAAGCATTGGTGAAACAAAAGAGGCAAAAGACAGTTCCTGCCCTCAAGGAGTTTATGGTCTAATGGGAGAGACAATAATGCAAATAATTATGCACAAAACAAGCTATGTGTAGGATAAATAGGAAATAATTAGCAGAATGAAGGCACTATCATTAAAGGAGATCAGCAAAGGCTTCCTATAGAAGGTAAGATTTTAGCTGAGACCTGAAGGAAGTCAGAGAAGCCAGGAGGCAGAGAATTCTAGGCATGGGAAAGCAAGAGAAAATGCTCAGAGCCCAAAGAGCGAGCGTCCTGTTCATGGAAGAGTCAAGAAAGGGGTGTCACTGGATTAAAGATACATGTAGGGGAATAAGGTGTAAGAAAACTGGAAAAGTAAGAGGGGGCTAGGTTAGGAAGGACTTTGAATGTCAAAGAGCATTTTGTATTTGCTCATAGAGGTAATAGGGAGGTACTGGAGTTTACTGAGTGGGGTGTGTGTGTGTGTGTGTGTGTGTGTGTGTGTGTGTGTGTGTGTATGTATGTATGTATGTGTATGTGTGTGTTTGTGGGGTGGTGTGTGAGAGGGAGGAGTCCAGGATGACTACTGGGTTGGGAACCTAAGGGACTGGGAGGATGGTGTTGCCCTTTACAGATATAAGGAAGGTAGGAGTAGGGAGGGTTTAGGAAGAAGATATTGAGTTCCAATTTGGATATACTAAGTTTAAGATGACTACTAGGTGTCCAGTTCAAGATGTCTGAAAGGTAGTTGGAGAGGAGAGATTAGAGACCAACAGAGAGATTGGGGCAGGATCGGTAGATTTGAGAATCGTCAGCATAGATGGTAACTAAATCCGTGGGAGCTGATAAGATTACCAAGTGAAGTAGTGTAGACGAAGAAGAGAAAAAGGCCCAGGACAGAACCCTGAGGGACACCTATATTTAGAGGGCATGATCTGGAAGAGGATCCAGCAAAGGAGACTGGGAAGGACCTGTCAGTAGTCTTCTCAGAAGGACAACCAGGAGAGAGTGATGTCATCCACATCTAGAGAGAAGAGAAAAGAGTGATCGACAGTGTCAAAGGCTGCAGAAAGGTCAAGGAGAAGGATGATGGAAAAAGGCCATCGGATTTGGCAACTAAGAGATTGTTGGTAACTTTGGAGAGAACAGTTTTAGTGAAATGATAGCCAAATTGCAAGGGGTTGAGAAGAGAATGAGAGAAGAGAAAGAGGAAGCACCCATTGTAGATGCCATTTTCAAGGACTTTGGCTACAAAGGGCAGAAGAGATATAGAATGGTAGCAGGGATGGAAGGACTGAGAGAGGGGTTTTTTTGAGGCTAGGGGAGACATCAAATGTTTGTAGGTAGTAGGGAATGAGCCAGTAGAGGGAGAGATTGCAAATAAATGGAAGTAGGGATGACAGAGAGAGCAATCTGATGGAGGAAATGGGATGGAATAAGATTTCTTGAACAAGTAGAGGTGTTTGCTTTGGTAAAGAGGAAGGCTACCTCCTCATGTGAGACAGGAGTGAAGAAGGAAAGGGGGTAGAAGGCATCTGAGTGATAGAAGATGAGGAAGAGGGGAGAAGAGGTAGTTTACAGCAAATGGCCTAGATATTCCCTGTAAAATATGAAGCAAAGATCTCAGCTGAGAGAATGGGGGAGGGGAAGCCATGGGAGATTTAGGAGGGATGAAAAGGTTTGGAAGAGTCTCTTTGGAGAGTAGGATTGTGGGTTGATAAAGGAGGTAGAACAGGACTGCCTGACAGCAATGAGGGCCCAGTAGAGGTTGTGCAACACAAAGTTTTACTCAGAACAACTGCATGATTCATTCACTCCATATATCCAGTCATTTTTAAAAAAATCTCATTATTTCTATCTTTATAACATCACTCATCTAGATCCCCTACTCTCCGCTCATACTGCTACTACCATCCAGCTACACCAGCCTACTTCAGACTTCCTCAAACTTCTGTCTGGATCCCCATGTACTTTCTGTGCCCCATGCTTGGAATGCTTTCCCTCCTAATGTCCTTGACTTCCTTCACTATTGAGCTCAAATCTCACTTTCTGAAGGTACTTTTATTAGCACCTTCCCCTTTGAGATTATCTCCCTTGACTCTGTATGTATTTTGCAGCTCTGTGACCCTGAGCAAGTAACTTCACCCTGTTTGCCTCACTTTTCTCATCTATAAAATGATCTGGAGAAGGCAGTAGCAGATAATGAAGTATCCTTGCCCAGAAAACCCCAAATGGGGTTACAAAGAGTCTGATGTGACTGAAAAGCAACAGTAATGCTGTGTCCAACTCTTTAGTCCCGGTAAGAAACCAGCCCATCTTTCTAGTCATAGAATCATAAGGTCAAAGACTCATACAGCTCTTGGATAAGGGAGCCCAGGGAACAGGAAGAAACCTGGCTCCCCTGGACCTTGTTAACCATCACCTATGGTTCAGGGTGATACTGTTGTGCCCACAGCTGTGTGTGGGGCAGGGGTAGAGGAGGGAGGGAGGTCCTTGCCTTATTTGCAGTTTTTATTGGATTGGGAGCAGCTGTGGCCTGCTGCCTGGACATTCAGTCCCATGTCCTGGCTCCTCATCTCTCAGCCCCCAAATGACCCAGTTGTGGGGGAGTCTCTCACTGTCTTCTGGATGACTAGAGGTTGTATATCTCTGGGGGTGGTAGATTCTGTCTTCCTTGGATAGGACTCCCAGCTAAGCAGGTGCATGTGGGCAGATGGACTGTGGTCAGGTCTCAGGTGACCACTATGGCCTCTCCCTCACTCTTTTTGTTTTCTCCAGCTGACTTGTTTTTAAATTCTATTTTATTTTGTTTTCTGTTCTGAATTCTCTCCCTCCCACCTTCCCCTCCTCCACCCACTAAAAAACAGAACCAAGGAAAACAAAGTTGTTGCAAGTATGTAACATCAAGTAAACCAAATTCTTGTATTAGCATGTCCTAAAAAAAGAAAGAAAATGCTGCTTCCATTTGCCTTCTGAGTCCATCAATTAGCTCTCTGTCTGGAGGTGGGCAGCCTGTTTCATCATGAATCCTTTGCAATTGAGGTTGGCCATTGCATGGATCAGAGTTCTTAAGTCTTTATGGTATTGCTAGTGTACAAATTGTTATGTAAATTGTATGTTGTACTGTATAAATTGTATTATTGTGTGCATTGTCTTCTTCCCCACTCTTGTGGTCCTACAGAAAAGAGCCGGTTTAAGTCTGACTTGGTCCTTTACCAGCATGACCTTGGGTAAATTACTTCCTTTCTTTGGGCCCCAATTTATGGTCACTACTGGCTTTAAATCCTACCAACCCCCCAAGTCTAGCCCTTTTCTCTCCCCTCTTCCTCCCAAGCCCAGGCCCTGTTGGTCCAGACTTGTCTGAATCATCAGCATCTTTGGGGCCAGGGCCTCCACTGGCTCAGTTGATCCCCTCTGATCCCCCAGCTCACCCGTGTCTGCAGACTTGGGCTAGGCTTCCCCTCTGGGGATTCCAGGGGATCAGCCATGCCCTGGATGGTGGATGTGGGCAACATTCCTTTTCAGGGTTGAGGTGAGACATCTGGGAAACCAATCTTTTCTGCCAGGATTGAATTAAGGAGGGGATGATTTGTGTTTGAGGAACTAGTCCAGCTTTCATGGCCTTCTCCATTCCTCCCATTCCCCTCAAGTAGGGGTGGGTGGGGGAGGGGAGAGTCTTTTTATGGGGGAGGGGGCCACTGAAGTTTGGCCCCTTGGACACAGAATACCAGCTTAATGTGGGGAGGTAGCATCTTTTGCCCCTGCTCCAGTTCTTTGGAAAAGTAACAGAAGTCATCAAATCCCTGGCTTTTCTTGTCAGTTCCTTGGGAAAAGATTGATTTCATGGAAGGCTCTCCCCTCTTTTCTTCTCTCCATCAGACTAATACTCCGAAGGGGCTCTCCTTTTTAAAATGAGGGCTCTTTGAGGGCAGAGGTGTAAGACACTTAGAGATTAGGGCTCTCGACTCATTGGGTCCTTGGGCATCACTGTCCTATGCCTCTTCTCTTCTGATTAATGCCTTGCTCCAAAGAGATCTCTGTTGCTATTGAGTTTGACTGAACAATATTTATTAAGCTCCTCCTATGTGCCTACCCGTATGCTCAGTGCTGGGAAGAGAAAAAGGTCATAGTTCTTGCCCTCAAGGAACTTGCAGTCTATAGTATCTGGGCCTCCTGTTGGCTACTCCCAGATTCTTGGAGCTCAAGGGTTGATGGATGATCTCAATCCTTAGCTCAGGAACCCCCATTTCCACTGAGTCTCCCTGACCAAGCCAGAACAAAGCAGACGACATTATAGTAAAGCAAAAGATACTTAATACAAGAGCACAAGATAATTAACAAAGACTTAAATTGTGCAGCAAGGTGGTGAAATGGTTAAAACACTAGGCCTGAAGTCAGTAAAACCTGAGTTCAAATCTGGTCTTGGACACTTAACTAGCTCTATGACCCTGTGCTAGTCACTTAGCCTCTGTCTATTGTAAAATGGGAATAATAGCCGTACCTACCTTGCAAGGTTTTTGTGAGGATCAAATGAGACAATATCTGTAAAGAGTGCTTAGTATGGTGCCTGGTACATAGTGGATGCTTAGTAAATGCTTGTTTCCCTTCTTCCTTTCCTCTTGCCCCATATTTTCTGTGAGTTCACCTCCAGTCTGTGTCTTTGACCCATTGAGAAATGGCCCCAAGCCCGTTTGGTCACTCATGAAAGAGGCTCAGCTGTAGCAGGCCCCTTCTTACTTCTTCTCCCTTCTCTGACTTCTCAGAAGAGCCCTTCAGTCCAGGGAACAGAACAAGGGTTAGGTGAAATGGAAGACTGAGTGTCTAGCAGCACTGGCCTGAGGTCCCCTCATGTCTGGAATGCTCTCCCTTCTCACCTCTACCTCTGGCTTCCACAGTTTCCTTCAAGCAGATCCCACCTTCTGTAGAAGACCTTTCACAGTCCTCAAACTGGGAATGCCTTCCCTCTGAGGTTACCTTCCATGGTCACTCTATACCTTGTGTTGTGATACTTGGGGTTCACTCTCCCAGAGTAATCCTGGCTACATGACTTCTTCAGCCTTCTAAGGGTATGCCTGAGCACTTGGGGGAACTTCTCTAAAGCTATCAGCCTGAACCCCCATTCAGGTGTATTCCCCTCTCCCAGATTGTTAAACTGCTGGTGATTAAATCTCTGAGTTCCATGAGGCCAATTAGCATCCATTAATTTTTCCAAAGGGACATGTAATTTGCAGATATAGCAAGAAAAAAAGTACAATGCCTGTGGGGCAACTCCTAGCCCACCTTGGTCCCTGGGAAGAGTGGGCTCAGGCTTGGCAGAGTTTCTATATAGCGCTGGTCCCATCAAGTGCTTTTCCAAATGAGTCATTGCTGCTGGATGAGTCCTACTACTGGTCCTGAAGAAGTCCCTTTCTCATTAGGGCCTTGATGTTGGATGGGCCAGCTGCAAAATCCAGCACAGAGCCCACCTTTGGAGCAGCTGGTGGCTCTCTCTTCTGATGTTTTAAAGCTTTCAAGGTTACAGCTATCTTCAGTCTCCACCTGAATTCAAATCTGGCCTTGGACACTTAACTAGCTATGTGACCCTGGGCAAGTCACTTAACCTCTGCCTGCCTCATTTTCCTTTACAGCAAAATGGGGATAATACCAGCACCTACCTTGAGAGGTTGTTGAGTACAAAATGAGATATTTGTAAAGCACTCAGCACAGCATCTGGCACACAGTAGGGCTTATATAACTGTTTTCTAATATTATTATTATTGTTATCTTCATTATGAGAGAGAAAGAGAGAGAGAGAGAGAGAGAGAGAGAGAGAGGCACAGTCACCACCCTTTGAGGGGAATGCTGTTATTATCCCCATTTTTCAATTGAGGAAACTGAGGCAGGCAGAGGTTAAGTGACTTGCCCAGGGTCACACAGATAGTAAGTAAATCCTTTGCTGGATCAGCAGTCCCTACTTTGGGTGCTTCCCAAGTCTTTGTCCTGGTCCCTATTTTCTTCATTTTCTACAGCCTCTCTTGCGGATCTTATCAGGGTCCATGGGTTCTGTTGCCATCTGTATCAGGATGACTCCCAGAGCTATGTGGCCAGCCCTAGTCTCTCTGCTAAGCTCCATTCCTGAATCACTGACTGATCATTGGGCAACTCTAACTAGACAATCTCTAAGCATTTCAAACTCAACATGTCTCAAATTGAACCCATTAGCCTCCCCCAAAACCCAACCCTGTTCCAGACTTCCCTCTGTCTACTCCTCATTCTTCTTCATCCCCCACATTCAGTTGGTTACCAAGTCTTGTTAATTCGGCCTCCACGATATCTCTCCCCTGTTTCCCCTTCTCTCTACCCACACAGCTACCATGCTACTTCAGGCCCTCATTACCTCCTACCTGGACAATTGCAATAACCCAACTGGAAAGCTGGCTTCCCGACATCAATTGATGCAGCTGCCAAAATAATCTCCCCAAAGCCCAAGATTGATAATGTCATTCCCTTGCTCAAGAATTTTCAGTGACTCCCTATTACCTCTAAGATGAAATACAAACTTCTTAATTTGTCACTTAAAGCCTTTACAAACTGGTTCCTACCTACCTTTTTAGACTTAACTGATTTTTTCCCATTTATATATCCTACTTTTCTGCTATACTCAGCTACTTGATATCATTCCCCGGACATTCCATTCCATTTCCTGTCTATGCTTTTATGTAGGTTCTGTCTCTGGAATGTTCTCCCTCCTATGGTCATGCTTAGAATCCCTAGCTTCAAGTGAACAGAACCAGGAGAACGTTGGGAGTAACAGCAACACGGTGTGATGACTGACTTAGATAGATTTGGCCTTTCTCAGCAATGCAATGATCTAAGACAATTCCAAAGACTCATGATGGAAAATGCTGTCCACATCCTGAGAAAGAACTATGGAGTTTGAATGCAGATTGAAGCATACCATTTTAACCTTTTTTTTTCTTTCTTGTGGTTTTCTCCTTTTGTTCTGATTCTTCTTTTACAATATGACTAATGTGGAAATATATTTAATATGATGGTACATGTGTAGCCTGTATCAGATTGCATAGCATCTTGGGGAGGGGGGAAAATTTAGAACTCACAATCTTATAAAAGTGAATATTCAAACTAAAAATGAATAAATGAGTAATTAATATAAAAAAGACTCCCTTGCTTCCTTCTAGGCTTAGAACATGAGCTGGAGATCATGCTTAAATCTTGAGAGCAGATGGGTCATCAAATCAGAGCCTATAGAGAGAGGAGTGAGGATTCAAAGCTGCTTTGACCTGCTTCTGTGTATCTAGCTCTGTGCTAGGCACCATGGACCAAACAGGAACAGGAGTGCTGGGCCTTGCCCTTTGGGAGTTCCCAATGTGGTTTAGGAGGGCTAGCACCAGGGTCCAGAGATCCCCCCAGAAAGCAGAACCAGGAGAGCTAGGTGGGAGTTGGGGCTGGGTGACTATGTGGGAGACATTGTACAGGGGCTTCTTAATCAGGTTTAGGTTGGACTAGTTAGCATCTGAGGGCCTTCCAACACCCAAAGTTTTGTGGTTCTAGGACTGTGGGTCCTATGAATCTCTGTTTCTGCATCTGTGAAATGGCAGTAACAATCCCTTTCCTCATTCCCGTGTAGGTTAGCTGTGAGGAAGGAGCTTCATCCCCTTGAATACCTATGGAAATATGAGCTACTGCTACTATGTGGAGCCCCTTGAGGATGGCCACAGACAATATTCACAGATGTTCAGAGAACACCTCCAGGGACATGATCTGAATGTGAGGACCCAGGGAACAGAAATGGGAGCTTTTTGTTTCAAACTCAACATAGAGTGAAGGCAATTTAAAGTCAGGGGAGGACTCCTGTGGAAGACCTTCAGAGGAAGTAGCCAGCCTCAGTCACTTATTAGCACCCCCATGTCCTTCAATTAGTCCTCCAGTGTTATGATCTCTAGCCCCCTCCCCACTCTGGTTGGCCTGCCTGGAGTCAGGAATACCTGAGTTCAAATGTAGTCTCAGATAATCTGTGTCATCTTGGGTAAGTCACTCTGCCTCAGTTTCCTCAACCATAAAATGGGGGGGTATTAATAGCACCTACCTCCCATGGCTGTTGTTAGGATCAAACAAGTGAATGTTTGTAAAGCACTTATCATGGTGCTTGGTATGTTCTGGGTCCTATGGAAAAGCCTTCTCTTCTCTTCCCCCTCTGGACACCTTCCAGATGCTCAGTGGGCTTCCTGGATGTGGCTTTCAGAGCTGACCATCGTCCTCCAGATGGGTCTGTGCAGGTCTGAAGAAAGGAGGTCTCCCCTGCCCTTTGCCTAACTTCATAAATCCTCCACACCTTATTTGTTTCTTGGGCTGGGATGGGCACGGTCTCACCTCCTGTTATTCTGTCACTCTTTATGCACAACCAGTTCTTCAGGAGAGGCCTCTCATTTTGCAATCTATGATCTCAGCCAGCCCAACTCTGGTCTCCCCAGGGAGCTGTCGGGGGTGGGGAAGCTCCAAGGCTTCTAGGAGCCCTGGGAAGCAGTGGGAGCTCAGGACCCTGGGAGACTCGAGGCCCTGGGGGGCCAAAGGGAGTCAGTGGCCCCAAGGCCTCTGGAACTGCCTCCTTCTCTTTCCCAGGCCATGGGAGGAGCGTTTCCTGCCCCTCTCCCAGAGGTCTGAAGAATGGGCAGAGGGCTCCCAGATCAGCCCTTGGGAGAACTCCGAGTGCCAGGGCTCAGTGCCAGTGGTAGGTGGTGCTGGTTGGGAAGAGGCTGGCCTGGAGTCAGGAGGGGCGGGGCAGGAGGAGTTGCTGCCCTACCATCTCATTGTCAGAGCTGGGGAGGGCGGGACCTCTAGCCCCCACCTGTGAGTCCAGCCCAGCAGAAGTTTCAGCCTCAGAGGCCCGAGAGTAGCTTCTGATACGGGGAGCAGCTAAGAACTCTGCCTGCCGGGACGAGACAGACTCCAGCCATGGAGACCCCCGAGCTGGTCTTACTATGCCTGCTTATGGCTGCAGAACCTGTCACCTGTCAACAAGGTAGCTGTGGGGGTACTGGGGGGCTTGAGGGTTCCCTGGGAAGCCAGTCCTTGACAATGTGGGGTTGGTACCACACTGTGGCACCCAGGTGAACAGTTCTGTGCTGAACAGAGACATTCTTGTCCTAGGAAAGAATACCAGCCTAGGAGTCAGGAGACGTGGGCAGTGCTGCTGGTCTGGTCACTGGCTTTCTCTGCAAATTTGGTCTACTCATTTCCCCTTTCTGGGCCTCAGTTTTCCCATATATAAATCATGGGGCTGGATGAGCTGATTTTTGAGGTCTCTCCCAGGTCTGACATAATCGAGCAGGGTACTCTGCCCAAAGAAGGCACTTAGTAACTACTGAACTTGCATTCTGTGTTCTATCATGTCTCCCAGCCCTGACCTACCATGTTCTGTGTTCTAAGAGCCCTCCTAGCTCTGACATTCTCTGCCCTAGGCTCTAAGGGCCCTTCCAGTGCTGACTTTTTCTCTTCTCTGATTTAAGGATCCCCTCTCTGCCTCCTTCTCCCCTCTACCTCCACCCCCAGCCATGATACTCTTTGATATCAGGTTTTATGGGGTGATGGGGTTTCCTTGGGACTCTGGATGTGTGGGTTCATTCCTTCCTCCCTCCATCCTTATCTGGTTCACCATTCATTTCAAAGTCAACACTGCAAACAAGGGCTGTACCCCCTGTAGGCTGGGGGAAGTGGATCCCTTGGGTCACATAACCACATCCTTAGAGCTGGGTAGGATTTCAGAGGCATCTAGTTCAACCTATACCTGAATAGAAATTCCCTTCTATATAGGCCATGAGGGGTCAAATGGAAGTGGGAGGCTCCTTCTACTTTTGGACAGTTCTAATTATTCTACTGGTACACTTTTCAGCTGGCCTCAGCTCTTTGGCAACTCAGTTTCCCCACCTATGAAATGGGTCTAATGAAGCATCTGAATCCAAATTTGCCTCAGAAGGTACCAGATTAGGGGCAAGGATGGGTGACTGACATGTTATTATGCCAGATGCTCGTAAATGAGGGACCTGGTGAAATGGTCAATTCTAGGACAGTCTAAGGGAAGACTCCAGGACAGGAGAAGTGAGGGCTTTGCATAGTTAGGAGGTTGTCGTATTACTCAAAGGAAATGCCCTCAGAGTCTCTCTTTTGCTGAGACTCCTGTCTTCAGGGATCCAAATGCTGTAGTATTTGACTTGGGGGTAGGTTGGAGACAGGGCAGAAAGAACTGGACTGAAAATTGGGAGATTAAGCCACTGTGTTCCCAAGACTGTTGATGTGACATTGGGCTCTTTCCCTCTCTGGGCCTCAGTTTCCTCCTGAGGCAAAAGAGGGAGGGGGTGCAGCTTACAGCCATTGTCCTCTGAATTAAGCACTGGGCTTGGCATTCAGAAGCCCTGAGTACTGGCTATCTCTATGTCTTTGGACAAATGGCTCTGCGGGTTTCATTTTCTCAATTGAAAAGCGAGGCTAACAGCATTTAGACTACCTATCCCCTAGGACTCTTGTGAGGGTAGCCCTTCTGCTGTGGATGGAGCCAGTGGGACATTTGGTGCATGTCAGAGGGTACAGGAGAAGTGCAAATGATGCTGGTGGGAGCAGGAGAAAAGGGCTTAAGTGGAGACTGAGGGAGATCATGGAATACCAGAGCAGCGAAGGGCATGAGAACATAGAACAGAGAGTGTCAGAGCTGGGAAGCGCTTGAGGAGACATCCAAACACCATGGAAAGGACACTGGCTTTGGGGTCAGAGATTGTTGTTCAGCCATTTTCCAGTTGTGTCTGACTCTTCATGACCCCATTTGGGGTTTTCTTGGCAAAGATACTGTAGGGGTTTGCCATTTCCTTCTCCAGCTCACTTTATAGATGAGGAAACTGAGGCAAACAGCATAAGTGACTTGTCCAGGGTCACATAGCTAGTAAGTGTCTGAGGCCAGTTTTGAACCCAGGAAGACAAGTCTTCCTGATTCCAGGCTCAGTGCTCCATCTACTACGCTGCCCTCTGGGGTCAGAGGACCTGGATTAAAATCCTACCTCTTTCTTGGAAGTCACTTAACTTTCCTGGTCCTCAGTTCCTTCATCTATAAAATGGGTCAGATTGCCTCTGGGGTCCTTCTTAGCTCTATCCTTATCCATGACCTTAGAACATAGAAAGTTTTTGCTAAGAAGGCTTTTAGAATGTGGCACAGTAAATGTCAAGGATGGCCCTGGCTTCTGAGATAGCTTTACTCTACTCTCTCATTTTAGAGACGATGAAACAGATTTCAAGAGATGAGATGACTTGCTCGAAGTCAGAGGCTAGATTAGAACCCAGACCTTTGGTCTCCTTCAGAGTGTTCCTTCTGTTTCTTTTCTTTCTTTTGGCTCAGCTCTCACATTTTTAAAAACTTTTTCAAAGCCCATTTATATCTGTTGGGTCACTTGATCTTCAAGACAGTTTGTGAGAGGACAGAGATTATTACCCCGATTTTAGGGGGAGAAAGGGAAGCCCTCACAAGGAAGTGACTCTCCCAAGGTCTCAGAGTGTTCAGCAGCAGGGCCAAGCATAGAGCCCAAGGTTCGTTCTTTCTACTAGACTTTGATAGCATGCATTGTTTTTGGGGTTGACCTCCCCAGCCTTTCCTTCTTGTCTGGTACTTGGAGAAAGGAGGGGCAGCCCGTGAGGCCTGGAGGTAGGCCAGGAAAAGATTTCTGGTGGGGGAGAAAGACAGAGGGGACTTCTGGCCATTCAGGGAAAAGAAGACATCAAAACTGATGTGCCCACCAGACTCATGAGGGAGGGAGACTTCCTAGCTCTATTCCATCCCAAAGGTTTCTGGCAGAAAACAGTTCAGTTGAAACAATGTTGCTCTGGGAGGACAATGCCTCGATAACACAATAACTCTGGCCTTGGCTACATTCAGTGAGGATGGTTATCCCAGAATAGCATTGTACTCCTTGTCCTGTCAGGAAAGATGAGGAAGGGACTCCCCCGGCCCAGGGACCAGAGCTGCCTTCCTCCACTATTTACCCTTAAGCCCCAAGACGTAACATGAAAAATGGAAGCAAAAGCTGTATCACTGCAGAAAGGCTTTGGGTTAGATCAGGAAAGACTTCCCAAGATGAGGTGGGGCTGAGGGGTCTTTCCCCTCCCTCTCCACAGATCAAAAAAAAAAAGTAACTTTGGTTCCTCAAAGTACCGGAGGGGCTAGCCACCTGCCTGGATGGGCCTTGGGATTATTCTGTCCGGAGACAGGAGGATGGTAAGCTGATCTCTGGAGGATCTCCTCCCTCCCTCTTCCTTCTCAACCTGTGTTCTTCTTAGCCTGAAATAATGGACAGGAAAACATATCAACAAAGGGAAGATGAAAGTGGCTTTTTTTTTGTGGGGGGAGGTGCTTTTAAAATCCTTCACAACCTGGCCCCCTTCATACACCATCCTCCCCTCCACATTCTCTCTGATACAGTGACACTGGCCTTCTGGCTGTTCCTCACACAAAACAATCCAGGGCCAGGCAGCAGGCATTTCCACCGTCTTTGCCCCATGCCTGGAATTCTCTTCCTCCTCATTTCTTTCCCTTGGCTCCTTCACAACCCAGCTAAAACCCTGCTTTTTGCAGGAATTCTAGTGCCTTCCCTCAGTGGATTATTCTCAATTTATTCTGAGTCTTACTTGGACATAGCTGTTTGCCTGTTGTCTTCCTGCTTAGACTAGGAGCTCCCTGAGAGCAGACTTCTTTGTATCCTAGTGCCTAGTACAGTGCCTGGCACACAGATGGTGATCAATAAATGCTAAATCACCTGACTGGACTGGATAGTGGGTGGTGGGGGTGGGCGGGGTTGTGGGAGACCTTGGTAGGGATGCGGTACTGTCAGGAGAAGGAAATATTCCAAAGCCTCCTTCCCACACACACTGGGGTCACTCCAAAGGCCTAGGGGACACTCCTGCACTGTCCATTCCTCCTGGCCTTTCCTCAGCCTCTTCCAGGGCACAGACCCATCAGGCCTCTCACTCTCTATGGGGAAATTTCATCTTCCAGAACAGGATTTTCCAGACAGAGTGTGCCAACATAAGAGAGCTTGGAACCACCTTGCCTCTTACCTAAGGGGCAGGCCCAGGCCCAGTTTCCAGTTGGGAACCCTGCTGGCTCAGGAGGCTGGGCCTCAGTCTCTCTAAACAGTGAGGCTCTGCAAGAGACCTTTCTGTTTAGGAGTGGAGGAGGGGAACCATGATTCAGGCTGTGACCCACTTGAAGAGAGCCTGAGGTTTTGAGATTCTCAGGCATTTATTCAACCCCTTAGCCAGAAAAAAGATACCAATCACTGACCCTGAGCTCTCATTCCCCTCACTGATCCCCCATCCCTCTCACTGAGCCCTTATCTTCTACCACACCTGAATCCCTTCATTAAGTCCTCAGTACTTACAACGATTTCCCATCTCCCTCACTGATCCCCCATTCCCCTCACTGATCCCCCAAATTCTTCCTGAGCTACCATTCTTCTGTTGAGCCCCCCATGCTCTCCCTGAGTCCCCTTCCTCGGTAATTAATCCATTTAAGAATCCATTGTCTTGAATGAGTAGGACGACAATCTGGTCTGTAGAGAAGGGCCCCAATCTAGTAACGTTGATGTCTCCATTCCTCCATCTCATGGCTCTGAGACCCCACCCACTGTATCTGAGTCTTCTCCAAGGCCCAAATGGGTCCTCAAAGAAAACAGCCCACTCCACTTAAGAAGAGCTCTGATCATTAGAACGCTCTTCCTGATTTCCAGCCTCAGTTGTCTCCTCAGTAACTTCTTCTCGTTCCTGGGGCCAAGCAGAATGAGGCTTGCAGTCCACCCAGACCCTCAAATCTTTCCCAGAGGAACTGCTCTCTAGCTTTGCCTCTCCTGTCTTGTACTCATTTGTTAGAATTATGTTTTGAACCCAATTGTAAGATTTTACATTTATTATTACTATCGCATGTTATCTTTTTAGATTCAATCCTTTGTTCCAGTCCATTGAGATCTTTGGGGATGCCAAAGCTCGTGGTCACCTTGGACCTTAGCTTTTTTTTTCTCGGTGAGATGAAGTCCTGTATCTTTCTGTCTCTCTTTCCCCCCTAGGTCTGGGGAATCTGGAGCCATGGATGCAGGGCTTGATTGCTGTGGCCGTATTTCTGGCCCTTGTGGCCATAGCTTTTGCTGTCAATCACTTCTGGTGCCAAGAGGATCCGTAAGTGACACTGTTGGTACCTCTGCTCCCTGATGCCCTCTCTCTTTTGTTTCTCTCTTCTCTCTTAGGGAGGCAGTGTGGTCTGGTGGAGTGAGATCCTTGGGTTGGGTTTCATGGGACCCAGATTCTTACCCAGGTGTGGGACTGATTTGCTTCATGACCTTGGGCAAGTCACTTCCCTCTTTGAGCCTCAGTTTCCTAATTTGTGAAATGGAGACAAAGTTGTCTTGGTTGCCTCACAGGGGTTTGTCAGGATTTCGGGAAAGAATGGGCGGGAAGTACTTGGGAAGTTGAGTGCAATATTATTATTACATGGAGAGTCATTTTAATGTCATTGTTATTACCTCCCCCTACAATGGAATGGGCCTTCCCCTCTGAAGTAAGCAGTCTTTCCTGCTTTGCTCCCAGTCTAATATATTCAGCCAAACGAGGGAGGTGAGAGGGAGAGTGATGTCAGAATAAGGTTGGGCCCCAGCTTGTGCCATAGGGAGAGTTGGATAGCCAAGTCCCAGTGTCTCTACCTGCTTAGGATTCTGAAGGAGCAACTCTATCCTCCCTGCCCCTCCCACTTTCTTCAGCATCCTTCCCTCCCTTCTGCTCCTCCTCCTCTCTTGTCCTCTCTCCTCCTCCTCTCCTCTTTTCTCTCCTCCCTCCTAAACTTTCCTTGCCCTTCTTCCTTGCTTTCTTGTTTCCCTCCTCTTCTACTTTTCTCCTCCTTCTTTTCCTGGTTCTCCTTCCCCTGGCACCTCTCTTCTTTTTTACTTCTTCCTCTGATTCATTCTCTTCCTTCTCCTTCTCCATTCCTCTCCTCCTTACTTTCTTATCCTTCCCTCAGACAGTGGGAAGCCACTTCCTTCCATGTCTAGAATTCTGGGAATGGGCTAGTTTTGCATAAGATCTCCCACAATGACCTCATTCCTTGTGGCTCCAGTGAGGATCTCAGGCTGGGAACAGAATTGAGTCAGAGGAGCATGTGGCAGGATCTCAGGGAAGCAGGGAGGAAAAGCCACCCCACTCTTGCCTCACCCATTCAATCAGATGTCAGATCTTGCCTGTGTCTACCTCCACAATATTTCTAAAACTTGATCCCTTCTCTCCACCCAAACACTGACTATCTTATTTCAGGAACTCATCCCCTCTGTCCTGGACTATTGCAATAGCTTCTTAATTGGTCTCCCTGCCTGAGGGATCTTTCCGCTCCAATCCATCATCTACAGAGCAGTCAGAGTGATTTCTTTAAGTGCGGGTATGACCATATCATTCCTCTACTTGACAAACTCTAGTGGCTCCCCAACATAAAATATCAGCTCCTACATATGGCTTTTAAAGCCTTTCCTAAGCTACCTTTGCACACTCTACAATCCAGCCAGACCTGCCTTGCTGCTGTTCTTCTCGCATGCCACTCCACATTTCATCTCTATGCCTTAGCATGGGCTATTTTCCCTCATACTGGAATACATCTCCTCTCCTGCACCTCATAGACTCAGATATTTTCTTCAGGACTCAGCTTGAACATTACCTTCCACTGCGAGTCTTGCCTTATTTTCCCAGCTACTTGCATGCTGGTCCTTCCCCAAACTCCTTTGGATTTATTTTGTGCTGGTTCTGTGTACATATACATATATTCGAGTTGCCTTTCCTGATAGGACTCAAGCTCCTAGAAGGGGAGGACTTATTTGTTTTTGCTTTTGTATCACCAGTCCCTAGCACAGCCCCTGGAAAATTGTTGATTTATTGGTTGAGGATAGAGAAGACTTTATATTATCACCCTTCTACCCCAGAGCAAACACCCCCAAATTGCTCTTAGGCTCCATTCAGAGATGGGATGAAAGCAATGCATTCAGAGAGGTTATGTGACCTCACCTAGCCAGATCACACAGCACCAGAATGTAGCTGAGTTGGGACTCAAATTCACATCTCCTGATGCCACAGAATCTCAGAACATTAGTAGCCACCTAGTTCAGCCCGTGCCTGTAGAAGAATCCCTTGACAACATCTCCAATACTTGGTTGTCTAGCCTCTGCTTGAATACCTCCAGGGACAGGGAACTCATTACCTTTTGAGGCAGCTCCTTCCACTCTGGGACAGTTTTCATTGTTAGGAAGCTTTTGCAGACAGCGAGCCTCAATGGACCTCTCTGTAACTTCCCAAGTTGGTCCTGGTTCTGCTTGAGCCAAGCTGGACAAACCCAATTCTCTTCTAGGTGAGAGCCCTTCAGGTGCTTTGGGGGTTACCCAACATCTAATACAGGATTACTCAAGAAGAGGTTAACAGTTGCCAGAGGCCAAAAGAATTCATTTAGTCCAGGGGTAGACAATCCTTTTGTTGATTTATACAAATAATAATAATAATAAATAAAATAATAAAAGGATTTGTTCTGTGTAGTCTGGATCCAGTCAAAGGGCTGCACTAGAGGGCCACTAGAGGCCACAGGCGCCCCATTTCAGAGCTCGTCCAGCCCCATCATTTTTAGGGCTTTGCACATTTTGCCCTGATGGGGACCTGTGATCTCATGGGTGTGGGAATTCTGGGTAAGGAAACTCTACGTCTCGTCAGAGTGCCTCTGACTTTGCATTTAATAATGGTTTGTTGGATTCAAGTGAACACCCCTACCATATCTCCATCAAGCTTTCCCTTCTCACACACCAGGGTGGCCCTCACAAAACATGAACCGCACACAAGATGACAGATGAGGTCAGACTAGGGCAGAGGACACAAGGACCTCATCGACTCCTGACAGACCGTGTGCTTCCTTTCCTGGTGCCCAAAGTCAAATTTGTTTTTTGGCTGCTATGTTATAGTTTTGACTCACATTGTTCTTGCCGTGCAAGACTCCTAGATCTTTTTTTTTCTTTTCCCCACAAGGCAATCAGGGTTAAGTGACTTGCCCAGGGTCACACAGCTAGTAAGTATCAACTATCTGGTCTGAGAGCAGATTTGAACTCAGGTTCTCCTGACTCCTGGGCTGGTGCTGTATCCACTGAACCACCTAGCTGCCCCTAGATCTTTTTTCATAGTTGCTGCTGAGTAGTTGTGAAGTTTTTTTTTTTTAGCTCAGAAATGACTTTCCATTTATCCCTAACTAAATTTCATCTAATGAGAGTAAGCTTAGTATTCCAGGCTCTTGAGAACTCCTCCAAAGTCTTAGAAAGTCCAGGGCTTTTTCTGTGCCCTTTGAGTTTTTGGCCTGAGGAGTCCCATTCTTCCCTGTTGCTATTACAGAGAATGGGAAGCTGGTCAGGATCTGGAGTCCAAGGACCTGGATTCAAATCCTGTCTCTGCTACTTACTACCTTGGGCAAGTCACCTAACTCTGGTCTAAAAATGGGAAAGGTTGGACCAGATGGTCTTTAAGCTTTCTTCAGGCTTTTAATTTTTCTGTTTGGTCCCCAGGGCCTCATCCTTTACCCTGAAAACTCACAGTGAAAGTAATCCTGCTCTACACACAGATGAAAATAATTTGCTCTACATACACACATGTACATGCACACACATGCATATACATACACACATACATGTACACGCACACACATATGCACAAGCACACACACACATGTTGTTTTGAGGACCTGAGCTAGTATCTGAGATCTTCGGGGAATCACATAAAGCTCCTACAAACTGATGGTCAGGAAGGAGTCTCCCAGATAGTTGTAAAGATGAGGAGGAGCAGGGACTCTCGTACCTGCCAGGAGTGGGTTGAGCCAGTGTCCTGTAAGGAGACTGCCACAATGGGACCCCCACAGATACAGAGCCAGTCCACCGAAAGTGGACACCAACAGCTGTGACAGGATTTGCAGGCCCATTATAACCTGCGTGGCGAGTGGATGCTCAGGGGAGAAGCTGAACACGTGAATAGGAGATGTGTGCCTTTGCCCTGACTCTGGAGTGGCACCATCTCCTTGAGTTTCCTCCCACTGTGGGTGAGTGAGGTAGGCTGGTATCTGCTGATCTCTGGGGGGGGGTTGTTCTTCTAACAGGGAGCCTGTGACAACAGTCTTGTCGGTTGGAGCCAAATCAGACGGGAACTTGGCAGGGGTGGATGGAAAGTATTCGACAATGGCTTTGAACTTCAGGTAAGCCTGCCCTAGGCTTCCAACTCTGAACCAGATCTTTACCTTGACCCTGACCATAACTGTGATCCTGACTTTAGCCCTTATCTTGATGCCGATCTAGATTATGACTTGGATCCTGCAGGATCTTTGAAGAAAAATGTCAGTGGACAGACATTCCCTGCCATGGACAAGGGAGGGAGCAAATACTTGTATAAAGACTCATCTACCCCAGCAGACCTGGTTTCCTTTTTACAGAGACCCGGTCTGAGATGCGACCTATAGGTGGTTTGGCTAGCATGCCAAAGGACAGGAGCTACTTTGTGGTCTCAGGAGTGGGAAAAGTCTATTTAGTTAGGTTGTCAGAGACAGGATTAGAACTCAGGTCTCCCACACTCTCAAGTCTAGCCTTTGATCTCCTATACCTAGTTGAATCAGTGAGGAACATGTTGAGGAGGACAAAGGCTCAATTTAGGGGATGGGAGCTAAGTGAGGGGGAGTGTGGGGGAGAATGTGTTTTAGTAAAGGGATGGAGCTTCAGGAAGGAGATGAAAGCTCAGCATTGGAGAGGGAGTCTTGTAAGGGAGTCGAGAGCTTAGTGAGAGGATGGTTTGTGCTCAAGCAAACAGACTGGGCTTTAGCCTCAGAAACTCGATCAATTTGACAATATCATGCTGCCTTTGCTTGTAATATGCCTGGTCTGGAAGGGGGTTGGACAGGGGGAGGTAGAGGTGGAAGGGAGGATGTGCCTGGCTTGAGAGTCAAAGGATCTGTGTCCAACTCTGACCATTGACTCTGCATTATGTAATCTTGAACAAATTCTTTCCCCTCTAGGGGCCTCAGTTTCTCCCTCTGTCAAACAAAGGGTACAGATGGGGCAGGATGTTTTCCAAGGTCACTTCCAGCTCTGCCATTCTGTGGTTTTGTCTGGGGCCACGGAGTGGAAGGGGCTAGGGCAGGAGCAGTGACAGGATGAAATGTCCCTGGGAAGGAGTGGATGTAAATAGTGTTTCGGTCTTTGCCCTTTCAGGTCCAGTGAACACAAAAATGCCTACGAGAATGAGAATGTGTTGGAAGATATCCCAGGAGTCCATAGCACCCCCATGTGACCTTCCCAACCCATCTCCCCACCCCTCCTTGGCTCCCCTCCTGGGCAAACCACCACCTCTGACAGTTCCCTGGGCACTTCTTGAAGAGATCACCACTGCTCCCTTCTCAAAGATTACTTATTTTTTGTGCTTCATCTGTAATCATGAGTCACCCTCCCTCTAAGCCATTCATACCCCCTCACCCCATCTCCTTTGTCAGGGTTTGGTTTGGGGCCAGGGTCAGGGCCAGGATTCAAGCTGGGATTGAGCTTAGGGGTCGTCTGGAGCTTGATACACACGGAACTGTCCTGGTCTGGGATCCTTCTAAGTCTTTGGTCTCTGCAGCGGAGAGCCTTGATCAGGTGAGGTTAAATTGGTCCCACATAATAATGCCCCTTCCTTTGAAATGGCTTTTATTTCTGTGAAATAAAGACATTTTGTGCTTGTTGTCATTAATGGCTTTGAGGGAAATTCTGCAATCATTCCCTGCCTACTCCCGCCTCCTTCCCTCCCCAAGCAGAAGCAGTCTAGAATTTTGCCTCTTTAATGTAGTTTAAGGTTACATCAGTGAGGGTGGGAGGGTGTCCCCTTGTACTACTGACTCATATTGAGGGTACAGTCCATGCAGTGTCTCTGTTCTTGTCCAGATAATGCCCTTTCTAGCCTGGCCTCTCCCATTTTGACCTTATGAAGTTAATTTTTTTTATTCCAAGTATAAAACTTTAATTAGATTTCAGGTGATGGCCCATTGTTCTGGCCTGTATACTCTGGGCATTTTGGGATACTCACTGTGATCCAACACATTCTTTATTCCTTTTAGCTTTGTGTTATCTGCAACTATGGCAAGCCTTTCTTCTATTCAGTGGGAGATGATGGCTTTGGAGACATAAAGGCCTGGATTGGAATTCCAATTAGTAGCTGTGGGACCCTGGGCAAGTCATTTCCTTTCTCTGGGTCTCAGTTTCCTCCTCTATAAAGTGAAGGGACTGGGCCTAAATGATGTCCAGTTCTAAAACCATGATCCTATAACTCATGTGAAACAGCACAGGGCTAAAGGCAGAGCCTTGGGGCACTCCACTAGAAACCTTTGCTCATGGGAACGTCATGAAGATTGCTTTTAGAGAGTCTAATTATTCAACTAGTTCTTGAATTTTTGCCTCCTTTGCCCCATTTCTGCCTGAGGAGTGGTTCTATTCTTTCTTCTCCTTCCTCTAGTTGTATTAGCTTTCTTTGTCTATTAGTCTGTGGCTGTCAACAAACATATGGTTCTTAATACACACACACACACACACACACACACACACACACACACACACACACACACACACACACACACACACTGGCTGGGAAGTTCCTTTCACATCTGCATTGGCCTCCAAAGTTTCTGCTCAAATCTTCAAAATTCATTCTTGAGAATGAATCAGGCCTACTCTTCCCAGGTGGATGACCCAATTGGCAAAATTAATAACATTTAAAGAGAAGTCGTCTAATTTCTAATTCAAAAAACTGCTTTACAGTTATTAAAAGAGTCTCCTATTTGCACCACTATCAGGTAAGCATTATTATACCCATTTTCCAAACGAGGACCTCTAGGCTCTTGGCCTTGCTTTGTCCATACCCCCTAAGAGCAGTGAGCTGAGACTTGGGAGAAAGAATTGACCTGCTGACTATGTAGTTGTCCAGATTCCCAAATACTTCCTTTGGCCCTGACCTTGGAAGAGAGCTGGGGGTGGGGGTAAAAAAAAAAAAGGAAGCCATCTCTTAGAAAAAGCCACTCCCCCCTTCATCCCTGCCCCATCCCCAGTTAAAAAGTCAAAATAGCGGCTTGTACAAACTTGATTTTTCCTCACCTATTATTTTCAATTTTAATATCTAATTTGCTTATCAGAAAATACACCGTCTAGTGATTTTTGAACCTGTTTGGTTATTATGTAGATCAAATGAGGTAACATACAGCACTCCAACAAAGCTAGCTGTTATTAGTATGTGAGACCTGGAAGTATGGACGTCTCTATTGTTAAGGGTTTGCAAACTCAATGTGTGGACACTGGTGTGGACAGGCTGGGCTTGTGGGAGGGGTGGGGATTGGGGCCACAAGTTTAATGAGCTTACTAGGGTATTTTAATGAGGGCCCTGAAAGAAAGGAGGGAAGGAGCCAATTCTGGGAATATACTACTAATAAACTTGAGCTTGTAGAGTCTTAGACAAGTGGGTGAGGTAGGAAACCATTTTCCTTACCCTGAAAGGCTACAGTAGGCTGAATTGGAAAGAAAAGTCATGCCCAGAAGGAGAGTGCCCTCTCACATAAGCAGGCAAGTCTTCAGACTCCAGAGAGCCTTGTTGGCCACTAACACCTGGTGGTTCTACCATTGATGACTCATTCAGGAAGCATCTGGGGCAGGATCTGAACCCAGGTTTCCTGACTCCAGGTTTAGAGTTCATTTCATTATCCCACTATATTCCATGAGTGATTTAGTGGGGAAATCAGTTGGTTTGGGCGCTGTGATCTTGATAAAAACTGCTCCTCATCTCTGGTCCACAGTTTTCCTATCTGGGAGTAGATTAACTTAAAGGTACCTCTTCGCTGTGACATTCTGTGTTCTATATTCTGAGGACACTCCCAGCTCTGATACTAAGCTCTATGTTCTAAGGCTCTTCCTACCTCCGACCTTCTCTGTTCCAAGGACCCTCTTGGAGGTCTCTGACATTCATTATATCCTAGGTTCCCCACCCACCCATGTTACATTTTTTATTCTTCATTCTGAGCACTGCCATTCTGTGTTGCAAGTCCTTTTCACCTTTATAATTCTGTGGTTTTGTGATTAAACTGGAGAGAAAGGAATAGGGGGAACCCTTCTTTGGGAAAATAAACAATGAACATGTCCTGAGCCCCTGTAAAGGACATAGGGGCCAGAGTCCACTGGGGCCAGTCAACTAACTCCATGACCATTACATCCACTCAGCATTTCTCCTAAAGCACCAAAGTCTAAGGCCTCAGCTGCTCAGTTACCTATAAACTTCAGGGTGTGCCTGGTGTACTAGTCCTGTTCCTTCGCCTACCACTTGGGCCAGTCTCTAATGATTCTTCATTAATGATTTCCCCTGGAAGTCAACAGGACTGAGGACTGTTTATGAAAGGAGCTGGGGGACAAGAAGCTAGCTTTTGCCTCTGTGGGAATTAGATTCCAGACCTCTCCGGTCCTGGCCTATAACCTACACTCCAAGCCTTGAACCCTTTTTTATCTTCCTGGAAACCCCCAGTGCAGATGCAGCAAGTTTCAACAAACAGAGCCAACAGGGCTCTTTGCAAGGTTGGGAAAACTGGAAGGAGGAAAAGAGGTGATTCCTATGGGTGTGTTGGGTGTCCTGGCTGTCCATATGACAACCTGGAGAGTGAGCAATGAATATGTTTGTGAAAGGAGGACATAAGGTTGGGAAAGAAGGAGAGAGGGGAATGAAGAAGGAGGAAAGGGAGTGGGAGAGAAGGAGGACAGTAAAATGGGTTGAGAGGTGGAGAGAGACACAGAAAGAGACAAAGACAGAGAGAGAGATAGAAAGACACACAGAGACAGAGATAGACACACAGACACACAAGAAGACATCCAAGCAGACACAGACGGACGAAGGCAGGAGCCTTATAGGCAGGCTGGTTTATCAGAAAGGACTCTTGCAAAAAGTACTCCGTACTGGGTGTAAGAGGGACTGGATTTAAATTCCTTGCCACTTGTATATTCTTAGGCAGGACACTTACCAGTCCTCTGTCTGAGCCTTGGTTTTCTTAGATTAGATGTCTAAGGTACAGATATTTACTGGTTAGGTGACCCTCTTCTATGCACCTCAGTTTTCTTACCCACAAAATGGAGATTCTAATACTTGTAATCCTAATCTCACATGATGGTTGGAATCTAGAAATACCAAGAAAAGAGGTGGAATTCTTTGGGGAATGTATGATAATTCAACAAACATTTATTGAGAACTTTCTTTATGGAAGGCCTTAAACTGTGGGATAAGGGAGATGGGAACACAGGTAACTCTGATACACAATATCACGTGGTTAGGATATCAGAGAGGAGTGAAGTATCATGGGAAACGTGTGTGTGTGTGTGTGTGTGTGTGTGTGTGTGTGTGTGTGTAAAGGCAGCATAGTAGATAGAGTGAATAGAGAGATGGTCTTGAGTTGGGAAGTGGAAGGGTTTCACATGTTGGTCATGTGACCCTTGGCAAGTTCCCTCAGGCAACTCTGTAAGACTGGAAGTTGCCAAGAAGTTTCCTTCATTGGTGAAAGGTGTTTCTTTACTGGAGAATTCCTTTACATCCCATGTGGCATCACCAGGTTGGTCCCTATTCCCATCTTATATATTAGTGCAATAGGCTATCAGGAATGGTGGTGACCTCCCCCTACTGTAGGTGCTCAAACAGATACTGACTGGCCATTTGTTAGAGATGTCCTAGAGGGAATTTTTGCTCAGGTAAAAATGGGATGAGTTGACACTCAGGGCCCCATCAAGTCTAATGTTCCTTGTTTCATGTTCTAAGGTCTTTCCTCACTTTGGCACTCTGTGGGTTCTAAGGTCTGTCTCTTCCCTCAGGCCTGACATTCTCTGTTCTAAGGCCCTTCTCAGCTCTGACAACTTGTGTTCTTTGTTATAAAGTCCCTCTGGGCTCTGATATTCTAGGTTCTAGATTCTGAAGTCCTTTCCAAGCTGTATGATACATTACGGCATGTGGATAATGAGAATGAAGTGTTGATTATTCTCTGTTCCATTTCCTTTGATGTCTTGGAGCCTTCTCTAATTGAATGGGACATGAAGATGTATGCCTGTGCCCATTGAAGAATGAGAATTTGGGAGGCTTTTGCACTAGGGGACCTTTGGGCCTTTCTCTCTTTCTCCTAAGGGAAAGAGAAGTAGAAGAGGGTAGTGGAAGTAAGACTTTTTTTTTTTATCTTAGTGTTGAGATTGCCTGAAGCCTAGTATGTATTAATTACTTCCTAAGTACTCTATGTATCAAGACATTAATAAATATTTTTGGATGAATAAATCATTAAAATTCAACATCCATCCATCCATCCATCCATCCATCCATCCATCCATCCATCCATCTATTCATTCAAACACCAAGCCCAGCTAGGCCTTATCTGTGTACCTGGTGAATATGGACTATTTGTGCCTGACCTGTGGTAGAGCTTTCTGAGCTCATATTGGTCTGA